CGCGAAACTCTCTGGACTGCATCCGGTCGACCGGCGCGGTCGACCACGAGCCATCAAAAAACATACTGAGTCTCTGTACTCAGGGGCAGTCGACTTGGCGGTCGACCGCAAACTGATATATGAGAAAAACAGGTTTAGAAGCAGTTTGATGATTTTGAAATACTGTTTAAAAATATCAAATAAATTCCAAAAAATATAAAACTTTGAAAAATGATTATAGACATGATAATACACATGCTACAAAAATTGGTTTTTAGAAAGGACCTCCCAAATGAAAAATATAATCATTTTGTAAAATAGTTCAAAACATAAAAATGTGAACATATGAGTTTTGATATTTTAACTTAACCATGTTTTGAAACAATACAAAATGATTTTATAGACTTGAAAAAAGATGTAAACTATTGTTATGAAGTCTATAAACAATGAATATAGTATTTTCACAAATACTATATATATATATATATATATATATATATATATATATATATATATACATAGAAACCAATAAAATGTGTGTGTATATGATATTGAGCTTAAAGTACTTAACACACATAATATAAACTCCTAAACTAAATTACCCAAGCTTGATCTTGATTTTCAATAGCTTAACTTGGTAATCTTGCGGATGAAGCTTGAACTTGGATCTTCAACTTGAATTATATATAGCTTCACCTACTATTCCGCCAACCTCCATTGGATATGATCGTGAATGCGTAATTCCATCCGTCCTCCAACTTGTTGTTTACCTAGAATGAATATGAAAACACAAACACTAGACAAACAACATTAAAAGTAAATTGTTTGTTAAACATCATCAATAATAAGGTCAACAATCTCCCCCATTTTGATGATGACAAATAATTTACAAAAAGGATATATGCATGAAAGAAATGAATATATAAATTAGAATTATCATGCATATAAATAAGAAAGAATATACTCACAATATTTCTCCTCCTTTGATAACATCAAAAAGGGGACAAAGGGACTACAACAGAAAAGCTAATCTGCAAGGAACAAGTTTGTCGTTGAAAGTCGAGATTTACTCGCCATAGTGTGTTGGCGAGGAAAAAACTTTGGTCACCATTTCCTCACGGTAGGGTGGTCAAGAAAAGTTTCTGCGAGGAATATTATAATTTCTCGCGAAATCCCTTTTACAATGAATATATTCTTTTCTCATTGTTACTCTTTAGCCTCGATATTTCTCCTCACCTAATCTCATATCTTTTTCATCGCTAAACTACAGTTTTCTCGCCAATGATACGTGAATAATATTTAATTTATATATAATAAAAGTTCTAAAAAAATAAATTTCGTCGTTGTAAGTATCTTTCAGCGAGGAAACTATTCCTCACCAAAGGTAAATCTTTAACGAGGAAATTAATTTTCTTTATTATATGTATCTTTTTCTCGTGAAAATAGTTCCTCAGTAAATGGACTCAAAGACGAGGAAATTTAAATTTGTCGCTGTAGGTTCAATAGTAGAAATCAGAGCATTGGCGATGGGGACATTTCCGTCGCTAATGAATGTAATTCGAAAAAAATTACTGCTTTTTGAGCCCCCCAATCAGGAATATATACATGTTGCTACCAATATTCATAATATATTCAACAATATTCACATTCATCAATTCACATCCAATAATATTCACATTCATCTTCACATCCAACAATAATCATATTCATCATTCATCGATTCACATATATATAATCCGAAGGTCATAATATGTTCAAAACAATCCAAAAGTCCACAAAGTAACAAAAAAGTCTAACTCGCTACCTTATTCGTCATAGTCGTCGTAGTCCCTATCATCGTGATCCCTATCGTCGATGGTGGCTGCATCAAAGTGTCATGCGATATATTAAATTCCAAAGTAAATATATGAAACTAATCACATGATATCAGTTTTAATAATATGATCATACCGTATATTAAATTCCAAAGTAAATATATGAAACTAATCACATGATATCAGTTTTAATAATATGATCATACCGGGTTTTCACTCAAATACTTATGCTAGGAAACTAATCACATGATATCAGTTTTAATAATATGATCATACCGGGTTTTCACTCAAATACTTATGCTAGCTCCGAGCATAAGGAGTAGATCTTAAGAAGTGATCGTATAGCTTCGATCTGCCATTCGCCAATGCCGTCTCGCATATTTTCTACAAAATAAAATACTTTATTAGTATGTGCGATGATAATATATAAATGAAAATGATGCAATGATAATATCATAAATTAAAAATAATCCACCTTCTTTATCAAAGAGCAAGAGAAACGAATGAACGAGTACTTATAGCATACATGCTACTTTTGGGGAATATTTCCATCATTAAGAGCTGCAAATTTGCATAAACAATACCTTCGGCAACTTGATTTAGTGGTTGCCTTGGTTGATATTGCTGCTGTTGTTGGTATTGTGGATGCTGCACTTTGTACTGTTTCTTTGGCTATTCTAAAAATACTGGTGCTTGATACCTGCTCACCAAAAGGTAAAGAACTTGGAAGTCAACATGGCATATCATTCTCCTCCATAGCATAACCTCTATCATGTTGAAGATGCAAATTGTGAAAGTGAAATGCTTTACCTAGGAGAGTTCCGGTTTAGATCATTAGGTGACAAAGTAATTGAGATAATTGATACATGGCGAGTCATCTCCAAGCTGCATGACATAGTTTTTAGACATAAGAGAACTATCCCAATGATATTATTAAAATTACCTGCATAAAGAAAGTAAAGACTTACGGTACAAGACCTTCCTCTATAGGTTCTCAGACTTGTTGTGTAAACCCATGCACCAAACTTGTTGTGTAAACTCATTACTCAGGTACAAAAAAATTTACCATACTTTCATCAGCATCCTGTTCCCTAGCAAGGTCTTGCAAGAACCAGACAGCACTCTCGCTATCCTCAACATCATGCTTAAAACACATAAGGCAAATTAAGAGATAAAAAGTATGAAATAAAACCTCATAGTTTGTTTAAAAATAAATCATAATCCCCATCAACTCTTAGATGGACTCCATATTTTAAAACTCTAAAAGGATGAAAATGTGATACATACACAAAGCCTGAGCTGCTGTCAGCCTTACAAGAAGATCCTTAACCAGTAGCTTTTTAACAAAATCTTGGGCGCTCTCACTTATTATTGGCCATGGTTTCCAACGATAATATGGCTTATTTCTAAGAAGCTGTAAGTTAACGCCATAGAAAACATTATATTAGGTCCTATCGGAACAAAGAGAGCTTATAGCGTGAACAAGCTCTCTGGATTAGTAAGCTAGAGCATAGGGTGTATACTCAAAACTTGGATTGAATTATAATAAAGAACATACGTCCAAGATTGATATTAATTTAGACAGAGGGTGTATACTCAAAACTTAAAAATAACTTGTCAGCCATATACATAAGTTCTGAAAATAACTGCAAGTTCAAGTTCTTGTAGTATAAAGATTGACAGGAGGTTCAAT